AAAACTTCATTTGGACAACTTTAAAGATGATTTTCTCAATATTTAGATTTTTTCTGCACCCTCAGATTCCAGATTTTCAAATAGTTGTATATATTTGTGCTAAATATTGTCCTATCCTAACAAACCATACATCAATGGAAAGATTATTTATTCAGCTTTCAGATGATGCATAAATCTCAATTTCAGAAAATTTACCCTGGACTGGTTTTGTGCTCCAGAGTCACACATCGGCTTTATATCGGCCACCCTGCTCTTCATCCGCATCGGCTGTCAAAAAAAACAATATCGGTCCACCACTAGAAAAAATAAAAATTGGACAAAATGGAAGTAATAATGTAAAAGGAAGTAGAAACGAAAAGTACTGAAATGTGCAAACAAAGACAAAAAATATGGTACAAAGTAAATTCTCTGCAGCATAATATCCAGAAGGTGATGTGGAAGTCAAATATTCTGTGCCGCAGGTGGAAAACGTTAATCAGCCAAATCCAGCTGCAGAATGTAAATGTATTTTAGAGAATGATGTTGGGTTGATGAAAATAATGTCTAATTTTATCCAGTCTAATAAGGTAAGAAAACGGTGTGTGGACACAAAGTGGGCTTCGTTATTGACTTACAAATTTGCAAATCTTCCCCAAAAGTAAATTGAAGCAAAAGCATGAGTTTCCAGACATTCTGTAAGCGGCCCATATTGATCTCTAGATATCTTGTTTGTTTAACCTAGAAAACCTTGAAATATCCTGCTTTTCAGACCCTTAATTTCTGGTGTATCCTCCTGTAGAGTTCAGTAGAGATCTCAACAATCTCTCAAACTTAACTGTGAATCTCCTGAGGAATGATCAACCTTTGAGCAGTGCAGTTTTCCGCTCTCTTTGCAGCTTTGCCCAGAGCTCCTGGCACCCCCGTCGTCACGGAGACGACCCCCACCAGCATCACCATCACCTGGGACTCCGGTAACCCCGACCCTGTTTCCTATTACATCATCCAGTACCGTGCCAAATCCCCAGACAGCAAGTACGAGACGGTGGACTCCATCACCACCACCCGCTACAGCATCGGCGGCCTGTACCCCAACACCGAGTACGAGATCCGCGTGTCCGCCGTCAACACCATCGGCCAGGGGCCACCCAGCAACAAAGTGGAAGCTCGGACCGGAGAGCAAGCGCCCGCCAGCCCGCCGCGGAACATCCAGGCACGCATCTTATCACAGAACGCAGTGATGGTGCGCTGGGACGAGCCGGAGGAGCCCAACGGCTTGATCAAGGGCTACCGAGTTTATTACACCATGGACCCTTCACAGCCGATGAGCAACTGGCAGATCCACAACGTTCAGGACAGCATGATAACGGCCATCCACAGCCTCGTGCCGTCCGAGACGTACACCATCCGTGTGCTGGCGTTCACGTCCGTGGGAGATGGGCCCTTCTCTGACCCCGTCCACGTCAAAGTCAGGCCTGGAGGTGAGTTGTAGAGAAACAGTCGATTGAGGAAATCCACTCCTGCAGATCAAATGTGCTGTCACGTTAGCTGAAAAAGAGAAGTCAGATCCATTGTCAATAATATAGAGATGCATGAAGCATTGCTCACAAAGAAGTAAGTTTCAAACCAAGCAGCTTTCTGTTCATTGGCTGGCTGAATCCCAGTTTGAGCTGAATCAAGTGATCGCACAGATTCTTATTGGAATGAATGGATTTCACCCCAGAGAAACGGTAAATGTGACCACACCTTAACACGTTCCTGTGATCGTACACATCCATATGCAACTCTCAGTGAAGCTTCACAGAATGCTTGAAATCAAGTACCATATGAGCATTTCTGCACTGTTTCTTTAGGGCCAGATTTACTTACAGCTTGCGCCAGCGCAAACCACCTGTTGGCGTTAAACTAGTACTGTCAGGATTTACTAAAGCTGTACAGTGAAGAATTAGCACTGAAAAGGCATGGACAGTTATTTTTGAATCTGACCTTATTGAATATGCATTTGTAGGAGTTTCCCTTTCAGACTCAAAATTTATGGGAGTAGAGTATTAAAATGCGATTTACTAACGTTTGCGGCATTATGTCTTAAACTATTTTGTGCCTGTGTTGTAAGTAGATCACCCGCACCTGATGAGCATCGGCTCTGCTTATTTGCGACTACGCTAATTTGCGCTGTGCTTGGTATATTGCGTTGGTTGATATGTAAATGAGATGTTGCGTCTGTGTTCTTTAATTTGCACATTGACAGTAAATCACCCGCAGAAATTTCCACGCCCATTGTCGCTGTTTTGGAATTGCACTCTCGCACTAATTTGCCGTTTAGTAAAACTGACCCTTTGTGTCGCTCCATTAATGAATGATGTGCTCTATTTTAAAGCAGGTTTATAATGCATTCCTGATCTGTGTTTCAGTTCCTGGGCAGCCAGGGAAGTTCCAGGTGGGTAAAGTGAAACCGTGCCGTGCCGTACTGAGCCGTGCCGAGCCGAGCCGAGTCGTACCATGCAGTGGAAAAGCGCTATAAGAAACACTTTTGGCCTACAAATAATAGGCCGGGGGGGCAAAGGGGGGGCACCCTCTAGCTCCGCCCCTGATTGTTCAAATATTACTACAAATATTGACAAATTGCAAGTCACTTTGGATAAAAGCATCTGCTAAATGCATAAATTTAAACAAAAGAGTCTTTGATCTTTCAAACAAACAGGAGAAGAGGAATTTTGAGCCCAGAACATCGTATGTGGTGGAGGGTCTGCGCGCCAACACCGAGTACACCTTCTCTCTGGCTGCCGTTTCCAATAAAGGCATCGGCGCGTTCACCAACGAGATCAATCAACGCACGGCACAAGCAAGTATGTGTGAGACCCCTTAAAAAGACTTTGTTGTTACCGTATTTCACCTGACAGTCTGTTTTCTTATGGTGTATGTCACAGTAACATCTCTCTGCACCAAACCTCCCTCAGTTTCTCCATCCACAGCTGCAGTCAATGCCTTCTGCTGTTGTCTGTGACTCTTGATTGGTTTTGATGGTTTTGTTGGTCTGGATGGGAAGGGGGCGGGGCTGGTGTAGAGGTTGAATCCCCCTGATTGGATGTTTAATCTGTAGTTGCTCAGTCATCATTTTCAGAGTGAAAACAGAAGAGAAACGTAATCTTGGCTGCAAGTGCACAGGGCACAAAAGTGGTTGAATTCCCCCCAAATCTGTTTATTCATCTTTCCCCCTCCATCCATCCATCTGTCTGTCCATCTATGTGTCATTGTGAAGTGCATTGGTGTGTGAGATGTATATGTCCACAAGTATTTCCAGTAGATGATTGAAAAACAAGCAGAAGTCAAAGCCACCACCAGATTGGATGGGATTTGTGTTTTCAATTTCTTTCCTTTTACCTCTTTCTTTCTTCTTTTCCTCCTTTAGTTTAATGTCTTTTCAGCTCAGGACCCAGTGAAGTGATCGTAACTCCAGCAGTGTGTGTGTTGTTGTGTCTGTGCTGATGATGAAGTGCTCCTCTTAGGTGTCATGCAGCTCTTCAGTACTGCTGGTAAAGCTTGTGTTTTCCAGGACGGTTAACGGTTAAGTGAGGATGACGAGCCATCGCCGCGGTCCGTAAGACTCTTCTCATTATTCCACTAAACCGTCCTGATAGCCGGATCTGTGAATGGAACTGCGTCTGATCGAGCTTGACTGAGTCTGGATATCAAACACAGTCCTGCAGTGTTGAACTTTGACACTCTGATGAACTTTCTGTGATTGCAGACAAAACGGTATGAATTGAAGTTGTTCTGTTGTGTTCTGGGCTGTTTTAGTTGAGCTGCACAAACAGCATATGGTCGCCAAACAGCTCAGAGTAATGGCAGTGAGAGAGGTTAACGGTGTGCTGTTGCTGTATTTGTGTGCTTTGGGGGCTTTTCACCAGTTTCCCGTATTACAGGTTGTGAGGTTGAGCTCTGATCCGCTTCAGGTGGTTAGAGGCGGTTGCTAGGGTGTTATTAGGGGTCTGGGAACAGTTGCTAGGGTTTTGTGGTTGCTAGGGTGTTGTGGGTGGTTATGCATGGTTGCTAGGGTGTTATTAGGGGTTTGGGAACAGTTGCTAGCGTTGATCGGTTGCTAGGGTGTTGTGGGTGGTTATGCATGGTTGCTAGGGTGTTATTAGGTGTTTGGGAACAGTTGCTAGGGTGTTGTGGTGACTAGGGTGTTATTAGGGCTTTGGGAACAGTTGTTAGGGTGTTGTGGTTGCTAGGGTGTTGTTGATGGTTATACATGGTTTCTAGGGTGTTATTAAGGGTTTGGGAACAGTTGCTAGGGTGTTGTGGGTGGTTATGCATGGTTGCTAGGGTGTTATTAGGTGTTTGGGAACAGTTGATAGGGTGTTGTGGTGACTAGGGTGTTATTAGGGGTTTGGGAACAGTTGTTAAGGTGTTGTGGTTGCTAGGGTGTTGTTGGTGGTTATACATGGTTGCTAGGGTGTTATTAGGGGTTTGGGAACAGTTGTTAAGGTGTTGTGGTTGCTAGGGTGTTGTTGGTGGTTATACATGGTTGCTAGGGTGTTATTAGGGGTTTGGGAACAGTTGTTAAGGTGTTGTGGTTGCTAGGGTGTTGTTGGTGGTTATACATGGTTGCTAGGGTGTTATTAGGGGTTTGGGAACAGTTGTTAAGGTGTTGTGGTTGCTAGGGTGTTGTTGGTGGTTATACATGGTTGCTAGGGTGTTATTAGGGGTTTGGGAACAGTTGTTAAGGTGTTGTGGTTGCTAGGGTGTTGTTGGTGGTTATACATGGTTGCTAGGGTGTTATTAGGGGTTTGGGAACAGTTGTTAAGGTGTTGTGGTTGCTAGGGTGTTGTTGGTGGTTATACATGGTTGCTAGGGTGTTATTAGGGGTTTGGGAACAGTTGTTAAGGTGTTGTGGTTGCTAGGGTGTTGTTGGTGGTTATACATGGTCGCTAGGGTGTTATTAGGGGTTTGGGAACAGTTGCTAGGGTGTTGTGGGTGGTTAGATATGGTCGCTAAGGTGTTATTAGGGGTTTGGGAACAGTTGTTAGGGTGTTGTGGTCGCTAGGGTGTAATTAGGGGTTCAGGAACAGTTGCTAGGGTGTTGTGGTCACTAGGGTGTTATTAGGGGTTTGGGAACAGTTGCTAGAGTTTTGTGGTTGCTAGGGTGTTGGTGGTGGTTATACATGGTCGCTAGGGTGTTATTAGGGGTTTGGGAACAGTTGCTAGAGTTTTGTGGTTGCTAGGGTGTTGTGGGTGGTTATACATGGTCGCTAGGGTGTTATTATGGGTTTGACAATAGTTGCTAAGGTGTTGCGGTCGCTAGGGTGTTGTTTGGGGTTTAGAAACAGTTGCTTGGGTGTTGCGGTTGCTAGGGTGTTATTAGGTGTTTGGGAACAGTTGTTAGGGTGTTGCGGTCACTATGTTGTTTTTACAGGTTTTGGAACAGTTGCTAGGGTGTTGCAGTCGCTAAGGTGTTATTTAGGGTTTGGGAACAGTTGCTAGGGTACTGCAGTCACTAGGGTGTTATTAGGTGTTTGGGAACAGTTGTTAGGGTGTTGCGGTCACTATGTTGTTTTTACAGGTTTTGGAACAGTTGCTAGGGTGTTGCAGTCGCTAAGGTGTTATTTAGGGTTTGGGAACAGTTGCTAGGGTACTGCAGTCACTAGGGTGTTATTAGGTGTTTGGGAACAGTTGTTAGGGTATTGCGGTTGCTAGGGTGTTATTAGGCTTTTGGGAACAGTTGCTAGGGTGTTATTAGGGTTTGTGAGTGGTTGCTAAGGGGTGTCTGTGGTTATAAGCGGTTGCTAGGGTGTTGTGGATAGTTTCTAGGGTACTCTGGGTCGTTGCCAAGCTGTTGCTATGCGTTTTCTCAGGTGTTCTGAGCAGATGTTGGTGTGTTGTTATCTGGTTGCTAGGGTATTCTTGTCTGTGGGGTTTTTCAGCTGTTCTCTGGTCCAGCATGTTGCTGTAGCATCAGTTGTGAGTCTGTAGGTTGTGTTGAAGTTCTGAGCATCTCACCGAGGCTCCAGCACAAACGCACATGAGCCCAATTATCCTCGCACTTCCTCTGACATTGGTGCAGATAACAGTTTTTGAAAGCAATTACACATCCGCAGGTCATTTTTACATGTCATATTCTATAAAGATAATTGAATTATTCCATGTCAGTTTAATTATTGTGTTACACGAGTGTGCGTGTGCGAGAACAGGGGCCGGTCACGGGGTCCGTGGAGCCTAATGTGGCGAGAACCTTATCGCTTTGATTTTAAGAACGTCTCGGATCCCTTGTTATTTTTAATAACTCTCTCAGCTCTCATTGTGCCGTTCGTCTGGAAAGGTTTCAGTCAATTACACTGACGGAGACCAAAGCCCCACATTAACCGCAGTATTAATGACAGATAATACCCACAATTATATATGTTCATATTCGGCCGAGACTTCAGCTCAGAAAAAAATGCTTAAGGCAACTGTGTGTGTGTGTGTGTGTGAGTCAGTGTAATGTGTGTGTGTGATGGTAAGAAGGTCTGTATGCCGTACGCAGGAGCAGGTATGTACTCTACATCATCAGCTTCTCTTCACACGTTTTCCAGACTGATTCGTTATTTTCTAGTTTCTGTTGTTTTGTTCTCATTAGATCTGCATCCAGTCGAGTTGATGTTTTTGTGATTTCTTTTGCTTTAGCGCTCACAACCGCTTGAGTACAAACGTCAGAATGATTGGGATCAGAGTCAGTGCAGCGATGCTCTGCTTTCACCAGATGCTTTCTGACATTACAGGGTTATTAAAACAAAGCTGTAACTTTGTCGTCAGGCAGATTTACATTTATTAATTTAGCAGACGCTTTTATCTGATGTCTGTTGAGTGATCAGAAACTTGAGGAAGACAAATGCTATTCATCCTGATTATTCACTATAAGAGTAGCAGGTGAAGTGTGTGGATCTCATGCATAACATGTATTGTTCTTATATGTATGTTCACACACAGAAGATCTTTTAGAGTGTTGGTTTTACGAAACCCAGCTTATACACAGAGCTGCAGAACCTTGTCAGATTTATAATTAAAGGAGGAACTTTGTAAACAGAAACTCCTCCGTAACCCCGATGGGTTTCAGTCGGACCGTCTGTCACCATCTGGTCAGGAATTCTGATCCTGGACCGAAGCGTCGCTCCATCCATCAAGCGTGTTTCCATGGCAACAGCACTGCTATCGGTTACAGGCTCGGCGGTGCTTTAATTAGGTTGTTTGTTCTGGTCAATATGTTGATCGGATGCTTGTTTTGTGACAGACAGGCGCTTTATTCCTCCATCGCTGCATCACAACACATCCTTCATTTCATTTTGCTTCATTCTTTCTTTGTTTGCATCATTTATCTCTCAAGTTGAATGTAATTCGAGCCTCATAATTAGTTTTATTGATCTGTTTCCATCTACACTATTTTTGCAGCCCGTGAATCTCATCCTCTGCGTTCGTCTTTATGTTGTATTGATTTATTTTGCTTCATTTCTGTTTCTTTATCCTCCTCCACCTTCCTCAATGATCTTTCCTTACTGTGTTTTATTTTCGACTCTTTTCCGCTCCTCCGCTCTTCCTGTCAGAGCCCTCGGTTCCCCCGCGCGATCTCCGCTGCTCCGCCGCTGGCTCCACCTCGCCGTCGGTGAGCTGGGCTCCGGCCGCGGAGGAGCCGCTGGGGTACAAGGTGCGGTACGGGAGCGGCGGTGAGTCCTCGCAGACGCTGCGTCTGGAGCCGGGCGCGGGCCGGGCGCTGCTGACGGGCCTGCGGTGCTGGAGTCGGTACCGCGTGACGGTGACGGCGATCACAGCGCAGGGCGGCGGACCGGAGAGCGCGGCTGTAGAGTGCAGAACGGATGAAGATGGTAAAATCTCATATCAGTGGTTCAGCATTAGATCCCTCTTCTTCAGGTCTGTTTAGGTTCTTCAGGTGGTTCTTTGGAGATCTTGATGTTTTGTCAAAGGTTCTTCAGATCAGCCTTTTGGCTTCTGAGTTCTTTAAGGTTGTGTTCACACTTGGCACACTGCAAAACATTATTTTCTCACGTAGTATTTTTGTCATGTTTTCCAGCACAAATATCTAAACATTTACTTAAAGCAAAATGACTTAAGGAGCTAAGTCTTGTTTTCTGAAAAACATGCATCAATAAAAACAGAGTTTTTGCTTAAACCAGCAAAAAACATCTGCCAGTGGGCTCAGAAAAAAAAGCTTGTTTTCCCTATGGATAAAGTTAAGCACTGACAGATGTTTGTTTTTGTTTTAAGCCTAAACTCACTTCAATTTGGTTGAAAATTACAAGTAATAAGCTATTTTCTGTCCTCTTTTAACCCTCCTCATCAGAACGCTGTTTGAGTAGGCGTGGAGGATTGTAGAGTCGGAAGTAAACACCCACTGCTGTGATTGGCTAACAGTTGTGTATGATTGACAGTCTACATCCTTCACAGATGGACGCTGCTGCGATTTAGGTTAAAAACACATAAATACTCACATCAAACTGTTTAACAGACAAAGCCATAGTGATCACGTAATGAAAACAGTTACACTTGTGTTGCGACATTACAGTCAGATCCAGTAGTCGACAGCATCGTCTATTAGTTTCAATCTTTCTGAAAATCCCACGTTGAATTGTGCATTGTTTGTAAACGAATCCGCAGTAAAATGAAGTGAACGAAGGACTGAGTTCTTACTGAGTTCTTACTCATTAAAAATAAAGTTCATCCACTCTTTTCTAACGTTGGGATCTGAAGGAAGGCAATGTTTTTACACAACTTGGCACTGCACAGTGTCTTGTCGTCTTTGGCGCATCTTTATCGTTTAGTTTCTGCGTAGACCTGCGTTCACCTCTCGGTGGGCTAAACAGCCAGCGATGTAGAATCGGCGAGCGGGGCTAAACAGGCAACGATATAGCATTGGTGGGTGGGGCTAAACAGGTAGTGATATATAATTGGTGGGCGGGGCTAAACAGGCAGCGATGTAGAATTGGTGGGTGGGGCTAAACAGCCAGTGATGTAGAATTGGTAGGCGGGGCTAAACAGCCAGTGATATAGAATTGATGGGTGGGGCTAAACAGCCAGTGATGTAGAATTGATGGGCGGGGCTAAACAGGCAGTGATATAGAATGGGTGGGTGGGGCTAAACAGCCAGTGATGTAGAATTGGTAGGCGGGGCTAAACAGCCAGTGATATAGAATTGATGGGTGGGGCTAAACAGCCAGTGATGTAGAATTGATGGGCGGGGCTAAACAGGCAGTGATATATAATTGGTGGACGGGGCTAAACAGCCAGTGATGTAGAATTGGTAGGCGGGGCTAAACAGCCAGTGATATAGAATTGATGGGCGGGGCTAAACAGCCAGTGATGTAGAATTGGTGGACGGGGCTAAACAGCCAGTGATGAAGAAGCAGGTGTTAATCTTCTGCAGAGGCGGGGGTTTTCTACACTATTACATCATAGAGTGGCACATTCCACAAGCTGTTGTTTTGGCAGACTGCCTTCAACTTACAGGATGTTTTTATAGTACAATGACCTCTTATATGTCAAAAGATCAAGGGAATTTTGGTTTCTCAGTTCATTTCCCCTTTAAGCCTTTTATCATTGACAGTGTAAATGCTGAGCAAACCTGAATTAAATGTGTCATTGTTGGTCTGGACCAAGAGAACTACACTGAACTACAAGTGTGAACACACCCTAAAGCTGCCTTGTGTGGGTGTTTTGTACTGGTTCTTTGACGGTTCTGCAGTGACGTCAGACTAGGCTGTGTGTGTGTGTGTGCGCGCAGTGCCCAGAGCTCCGCCCCGTCAGGTGGAAGTCCAGCCCATCAACAGCACGTCTGTTAAAGTGTCGTGGCGCTCCGTGTTGCCAGGGCAACGGAACGGGCAGATCCGCGGTTACCAGGTTCACTATGTGCGCATGGAGAACGGGGAGTCGCTAGGCCTGCCGCGCATCAAAGACATGATGCTGGACGATGAGCAGGTGAGGTCACGACCCCGCAGACCGCGGCGCACCCTCAGCAAAATATGACCATTATTCAACCTTGATTTGCATTTCTGGTAAAGACTTACGATTCGTTAGCCACTATAGGTAAGTAAAAGAATAGCAAAGCACAATAAAATGTAAAACTGTTTGTGCTACACACTGGTGTGTTTATGATAATGATGATAAATTAAAACAATGTGATTTTTAAAAATAAAGGTAAAATAACTGGAATCGACTGACATGGAGGCACATTCAAGTTACAAATTACCTCATCAAAGATGATATATGGTGAGGTTTTGTTGTTTTTGGGTCTTTATTCATTCATGTTTTCAGTCAACATAAAATTTAAAATTAATCTTATTTCCTTTCTTAATACGTGTTCCTCATCTTCCTGTGATCGTCTCATCAGCGGCCGTTATTCTGAATTACGCTTCTGATGCAGATCCACACTCTGATATGAAACACACTTTCACATCAATCCAGCAGGAGAAAATCACGGCCTGACCTACATTTATTTCTCATTCAATATCTCGTTTCGCTCAGAAATGCATCACATGACAGAAGTGAAATGGGTCATGGATGCAGTTTCGTAAAACTTTCAAGCTTTTTACACGATACTGGCCAAAACTGCATTCAAAATAACAATAAATGATATATATTATTTATACTGCCTGTACAGAATCAGTCTGATCTGAATGAACAGACACTGAATGAATCTCACTCTGCGTCTCACTTCATCTCTTCTCTTGCTCACTGCTCGTCCATTCTGTCCTTTCATTAAATTAATCTCACCCTCCTCTCCTCCTCCTACGCGCCGCCTGGTCATCACTGATTCTCTCACATCTCTGTGCGTGTCGTCCTGCTGCTGTGCCTTTAGAGGGACACGGATGAGACGGCGCAATACGTGAGTATGAACTTCAGCTTCATGTTCAGAGCAGCTTATGAAAGCACAGCTGAGACAGAAAGATTTCAAAGCCCATCAGAGCCGCTGGATCTGAACCGCTTCACTGCATGAGTGTGTGTGCTTTCATAGAGCCACTCGAACACAGATCACAGACTGAGAAGTATATTAAACCAAAACATTGCTGGAGAGAATGAACGAATGAATGAGGCAGTAACATATAATCAGAGCAAGTGTCAGGTCGGAGATCAACACTCAGAGAGCAGTGCTTAAGTGTACATTGAAGTTTCTGGCGCTGAATGACTTGAGACTTAGACTGTGTGTCTGTGTGTGTGTGTGCGCGTGTGTGTGTGTGTGTGT